AGTATTTTTGTATTTTGGGGATAAATACCTATTAGTGAAACTGCTGGATCATAGGGTAGTTCCATTTTTAAATTTTGTGGAAACTCCATAATGATTTCAATAGTATTTGCACCAGTTTGTATTTCCACCAACAATGCAAGAGGGTTTCCCTTTCTCCACATCCTTACCAATGCCTGTTGTTTCTTTTGTTGTTTGGTTTTAGCCATTCTGACAGGTGTGTGGTCATATTTAATTGCAGTTTTGACTTGCATTTTCCTGATGATGAGTGATGTTGAGCATCCTTTCATGCGTCTCTAGGCCATCTGGATGTCTTCTTTGGAAAAAAAAATATTTATTTATATCTTCTGCCCATTTTTAACTGGATTATTTGTTTTTGGGTGTTGAATTTCATAAGTTCTTTTATATTTTGGATGCTTACCCTTTGTCAGATGTCATTTGCAAATATCTTCTCCCATTCTAAAAGTTGCCTTTTAATTTGGTTAAACTCATCCAGAAACAGCCAAAATAATGTTTTACCAAGTATCTGGATAACCCATACATAACCCATCCTTCACTGTGCAAAAACTTTTTATCTTCATGATGTCCCAATATTTTATTTTTGCTTTTGTTTCCTTTGCCTCAAGATGCATACCTAGTAAGAAGTTGCTCTGGCCAATGTCAAAGAGATTACTGCTTGTGTCATCCTCTAGGAGTTTGATGGTTTCCTGTCTCACATATGATTCTTTCATCCATTTTGAATTTATTTTTGTTTTTGGTGTAAGAAAGTGGTCCAGTTTCATTCTTTTGCATGTTGTTGCTGTCCAGTTTTCCCAACACCAATTGTTGAAAAGACTGTATATTTTCCATTGGATATTCTTTAATAATTTGTCAAAGAATAATTTACCATATAGTTGTTTCATTTCTAGGTTTTTATTTGCTTCCATTGAACTATATGTCTGTTTCTGTGCCAGTACCATATTGTTTTGATCACTACAACCTTGTAATATAACTTGAAGTCTGGAACTGTGATGCCTCCAGCTTTGCTTTAGGGGTCTTTTGTGGTTCAATACGAATTTTAGAATTTTTTCTAGCTGTGAAAAATGGTGGTGGCATTTTTTATAGGGATTGCATTAAATGTGAAGATTGGTTTGGGTAGTATAGACATTTTAACAATATTTGTTCTTTCAATTCTTGAACATGGAATGTTTTTCCACTTCTTGTGTCACCTTCAATTTCTTTCATCAGTCTCATAATTTTGAAAGTACAGAACTTTTCCCTCTTTGGTTAGGTTTATTCTTAGGTATCTTATTATTTTTGGTGCAATTTAAATCAGATTACTTCTTTCATTTCTCTTTCTGCCGCTTCATTATTGGTGTATAGAACTGCAGCAGATTTCTATATATTGATTTTGTATCCTGTGACTTTACTGAATTTGTGTATCAGTTCTAGCAATTTTTTGGTGGAGTCTTTTGGGTTTTCTTTATAGATTATCATGCCTTCTGCAAATAGTGAAATTTGAATTCTTCCTTACCAATTTAGAAGCATTGTATTTCTTTCTGATGTCTGCTTGCTGAGACTAGGACTTCCAGTACTATGTTAAATAACAATGGTGATAGTGGACATCCTTGTTTGTTCTTGACCATAGAGGAAATGTTCTCAGTTTTTTTTTTTTCCCATTGAGGATGATATTAGCTGTGGGTTTTTCATATATGGCCTTAATTATGTTGAGCTATAGTCCCTCTATCTCTACTTTGTTGAGGGTTTTTATCATGAATGGACTTTATACTTTGTGGAAAGTTTTTATTTAACTATTGAAAGGATAATTTGGTCCTTATGCTTTCTTTTTTTTTTAAGATTTTATTTATTTAATTGACAGAGAGAGACAGAGAGAGAGGGAACACAAGCGGGGGGAGTGGGAGAGGGAGAAGCAGGCCTCCCGCCGAGCAGGGAGCCCGATGCGGGGCTCGATCCCAGGACCCTGGGACCGTGACCGGAGCCGAAGGCAGTTGCTTAACCAACTGAGCCACCCAGGCGCCCCCTTATGCTTTCTTTTATTAATGTGGTACATCACATTGATTTATAAATATTGAACCACACTGGCAGCCCAGGAAAAAATCCCACTTGATCGTGGTGAATGATTCTTTTAATGTACTGTTGGATTTGATTTGCTAGTATTTTGTTGAGAATCTTTGAATCCATGTTCATCAAGGATATTGGTCTTTTTTTTTTTTTTAGTGGAGTTTATCTGTCTTACCTTTGTCAAGGTAATTCTTGCTTCATGGGATGAGTTTGGAAAATTTCCTTCCATTTCTCTTTTTGGGAATAATTTGAGAAGAATAGGTATTAATTCTTCTTTAAATTTTTTTAGAATTCTCCTGGGAAGCCATCTGGCCCTGGACTTTTGTTCACTGGGAGATTTTTGAAAAGTTCTTTGCTGGTTATCAATATGTTCAAGTTTTCTATTTCTTCTTGTTTCAGTTTTTGTTCAGTTTATATGTTTCTAGGAGTTTAACTATTTCTTCCAAGTTATCCAATTTGTTAACATGTAATTGTTCACAATGTCCTCTTATAATTGTTGGTATTTTTGTGGTGTTGGTTGTGATCTCTCCTCTCTCATTTGTTATTTTATTTATTTGAGTCCTTTCTATTTTTGATAAATCTGGCTAGGGATTTATCAATTTTATTAATTTTTTCAAACCATTTTACTGGTCTGATTAATCTGTTCTATTTTTTTTTAATTTTAGTTTCTATATCATTTATTTCTGCTCTAATCTTTATTATTTCTTTCCATCTGCTGGCTTTAAGTTTCATTTGTTGTTCTTTCTTATAACTCTTTTCAGTGTAAAGTTAGGTTGTTTGAGATTTTTCTTGAGAATTTTCTTGAGAAAGGCCTTTATAGCTATATATTTCCTTCTTAGGATCACTTTGGCTGCATCCCAAAGGTTTTGGACTGTCATGTTTTCATTTTCATTTGTTTCCATGTATGTTTTTAAATTTCTTCTTTGATTTCCTGATTGACATATTCATTGTTTAGTTGCATGTTGTTTAACCTCCATGTATTTGTGGTCTTTCCAAATTTTTTTTCTTGTGGTTGACTTCAAGTTTTATAGCATTGTGATCCAAAAAGATGCATGGTATGAAGGTAGTTTTTTGTATTTGTTGAGGCCTGTTTTGTGACCTAGTACATGATCTATTCTGGAGCATGTCCCATGTGCACTTGAAAAGAATGTGTATTCTGCTGCTTTAAGATGAAATGTTCTGAATACATCTGTTAAACCCATCTGGTCCATTGTGTCATTCAAAGCCATTGTTTCCTTGTTGATTTTCTGCTTAGATGATCAGTCCTTTGATGTAAGTGGAGTGTTAAATTCCCCTACTCCTATTGTAGTATTATCAATGAGATCCTTTATGTTACTTATTGATTGCTTTATATATTTGATCAACCTTCAACTGATTGGATAAAGCCCACATACATTAAGGAGGACGATTTACTTTACTCAGTCTATTGATTTAAATGTTAAACTCATCCAGAAACAGCCAAAATAATGTTTTTCCAAGTATCTGGATAACCCATACATAGTCCAGCCAAATTGACACAAATTTACCATTGCACCTACAAAAACAAGAGAGGAACGGGAAAGTTATAGTTAGATTTATAGAAAACTGTATGTAAAATACCTACTAAAACTTTGAAAAAGATATTCATGCTGTTTCCAAGCATTTAAAATTCATTGCAAGTAGAAATTTAAAAATCTCTTAAGCCTCTCCACACTATGTATGAAGAAACTATGATGTAAAGAAGTAAAGTTACTTATTCAAGATTATATAGCTTATTAACTATAAAGTCAGAACTAAAACCAAAACCTTACAATTCCTATATTCTTTCTAAGAATACACTGGCATAATCTCCCCCCTTATCACCTGTATACATTACATGGAAGCTGGTTAAAATTCAAACTGAACTTCAAAATGGCATTGGTGAAAGCATTTCTGATATATGACTGTTATAGAAACACCTCTGTATAATTGGTGATTCTGATTTAGATGTCAAAGTACTTTGTGTATAGCTATTACTGAGTTATGTGGCAATATGGAATTGATTCAAAACAGGCCCTTTTTCATCCTCTCACAAGGACTTGTGAACAAAGAAAATAGACCTTTAACATTCCCTGTGAAAGTAAAGAGCATAATAAGGAGGTGTTTATACAGGCATGGAGCCACAACAGACTATTTGTTTTCAAGTTATTGTCACTGAGAGAAGGCATCTCTTCTTAACCTAACCAGCTTAGAAAAAACACTGCTCTCTTCCTTCAGGTATAGACTTAAAACACTATGAATACATCCTCTAGGGGTGTGTGTGTGTTTAGTCACAGGTAACTAACACTTTCTTATGTTTCTGAAACTGTTCAGGTTTTTAAGCAAATATTAATGTAAGACCATTCACATTTTTAGATATTTTGTAAAAATAACTAAAACCTGCATGAGAGGACTGATAAGATGCTGTCCCTTAATGAACCCCATGAAAATTTCTATAAGAACCTGAAAAAGATCATTATGAATTTCCTGGTATAAATTATTCTAGGACAAAATGGCACATTCTCAGAGGTGGGCTAATCTGGGAGGGGATGGGGTGAGTAGAGGGAACATAGAAGGAAGTGAGTTTAAATACTGCTTTTTCTCACTTGCCTGGGTTTAAGCTACAGATGCTGTACTTAGGTTAAAGAATAAGCTGGGTTAGATATTTGCAAGTCCAGGTGGGAGGGCTGTGAGCCTGCAAATCTAGCAGTGGCAGTGTGCTGTGGTAGCTGTTTTCCTGTGCTAAGCTGATTTACTTTAAGGTCTGATCTCATCATCCTGTCAGTGTGAGTTCCCACCTACACTGTTAGCTGCAGTTTTCTCAGCTAGAAAACTAGAGTGCACCACAGGCAGTGGGGGAAGGGAGGGAAGCAAGAAAGACTGCTCTCAGCACTTGTGCTTTTGTTAGTTCAGAAGAGGCAGAGAAACAGGAGATAACAAAGGCTCCATTTCCTTTCTGTGAGAGAAGGCTTTTGTCTTTCCTCCTGCAACAATGTCAGTGTCTGGCAAGGAAGAGTTTCATGTGAAACAGATCCTAAGGCTACATTGGAGGTGGTTTAGTCATCCCTCTCAAGGGTCGCCCAACACTGGAAACTGCTTTCAGCAGGAAGGATATGAGCATAGAGGGACCCCGGTTCAGGGCAGGTTGAACAACCATGCTCAGGACAGAAACAGACTGAAAAAAAGGAACAATCCTTTCCACCCCAACATACTAACACCAGTGCCAGGACTGGCCCCTGACCATCAAAGAGCCTTTCAGAATTGGCACTCACAAAACTCGATAGAACATCTTCGAGCAAATGAAGATACTCCTAAAGCAGTTTCAGAAGAGAGTTTGTTTAAAGAAGCCTGTGAGAAACACTTACAAGATTTGGAGATGATTGCTGATGATAACACAGAAGATTCTACAGTGAGGTAGGAGTTTTCAGTCGCATAACTGAAAACCATAGATTAGGTTAACTTATTCTCTACAACTCTCATTTACTGTTTAAATAAAAGTGTTATAATTATCTCAATTTGTATGCAGCCAATCAGGGTTTATAAGAAACCACCTCCTCTAAGTCTATAAAGAAAAACAGTAATTTTACATATGTTTTGATAATTAATGGGAAATATGTTTTAGGGTTTTGAGTTTACTTTTCTGATTCCATTCCAATTTTGTTAAGATTTCTGTTTTAGTCATAAGAGATGTTTATTATAATTACTAACTTTTTGTAAATATCCTCTGTGGCTTGGATGTTCATATACTTGTAATTCTCTGTGCCAGTGTAATAAATCACATAAATAGAAACTCTGACTTTTGTTGAGTTAGGCCAATTCTGACAAAATAAAAGCTTTAACTACTCAGCACATTCTTATCTGTTCCTTAATACATAGTTACTGTATTTACACTCGATAAATACATTATCTTTATGTGAGAGTACAGAACAGCTTCCTTTCACATTTGAGATTTGTTTCAAAGTTTACAATCATGAAAATATTTTGCATAAAGCAAGTAATGAAATGCCCTTATAGCAGCAATGTCTGAACGTAGGAAATGGAACATGTTAGCTATTCAGGACATTAAAACAAAATAAGAAGTGATAGTAAAGTATAGCTTTAGTATAGCTCATAAAATATTTGACTTAGTCTTATTTTTGTGTCCACTAGTACTGTTTGAGTGAAAGAAAATTATGTTCTGTACTCTAATCTTGTCCAATATAACAACCTAGTAGAGTTTTACTTTTTTTTTCCTTTTTCATTATCAGATTTTATTTCCCCCATATATGTAGACACAACTGATGATCTTGGTAATGTAATTAAGGTGTAAAAAAGCCATAAGAAAACAAGGATTTTTGATATATTTTAAATTATATAACAGTTCAACATGAAGCTATGCTTATTTATTTGGAAATAATCTTTAACTTATTTGGTGTACTGTGTCTCTACAAAAGTACAGAGGAGAAGGACTGGTAAATTTGTTTCTAGATATAAGGTTTCTTTATTTTCCCAATGTATCTGCCTGACACTTCCTTGCCTCCATAAATTCAAAACAAAATATCAGTAGTAAAAGCAACATAACATTATGACAAATGGCTATCAACTGTGCAAAATGATGCCTTTGTAGGAACTGTTTTTCTGTTGCTATGTAAACATGCAAAAGACTTTGTGAAAAGACTTTACGTATAATATTGGATTGTACATGATACAGATATTTTAAGAAATAGTGTATATATTAATTTTCCTAAATATTTTGTGATTACCCAAGAATATGCTATATAACTGCTGGGATAGCAGGTTGTATTTAATAGAATTAATTTTACTTTCAAAATGATATATAATCCATGCTTTTAGATTCAGCACATTTTCAAATGAACTCTCTTCACCGTGAATCACAATTTCAAAAACTGCTGAATTTAGAGATTAATATTAATGCATTTGATTCCATTGTAGAGAAGTTTAAACGATCCATTGTGACCTCCTGATAAAATTTTTTGAAGATTCCTGAATTTATTTGCCAGCATGAGAATATATTCACAATAAATTAGTTGCTAAAAAATGTTGGATAAAATGTCAAATATAAAGTGTCACCAAGTAATATTTTAAAAATATATATATTTCTCTTTTTATTCCTGATAGTTTTCATGTTTTAAAGAAATGTTCTGTTAAATATTCTATGGTTACAGTAGAAAGTTAATATTTTCTTAAAATAAATAGAGTTAGTAGATTTATAGGTGTGCCAAGATATTTTAAGCAAAAGAGAAGTTGTAAATTAATTAAAATATGATGGTTTATTAATCTATCATTAGCCATTCTGGATTATGTCTTGATTAAGAAGAGTTTGAGAGGGAACTTTCTGTGTCTTGCTTCTCTAATGCCTCTCTTCAACAAGATTGGGGAGCAAGGGGAAAGAATCCTGAGAAGTTGACAACAACCTGGCATTCCCTCTTGTGGTAAATGAACAAACTAAGTAACAAGGCAGTCAGTGTAGAGAATGATCACACTACTACAAGATGGACTCTGACATTCTTGGCAAAGTAAGGGTATCTAAGTCATCCTGCTTTCTACAAATAGTGCAAAAAATTAATAGAGAATGGACTAAATTGTTAGCATGCAACATAACTGAATAACCTACAATTATTCTTAACACAAATAATAAATCCAAAGTATTAAAGTTGTACATAAGTGATGAATCACTAAATTCTACACTTGAAACTAATATTACATTGTATGTTAACTAACTGGAATTTAAATAAAAATTTGGAGAGAGAAATAAATAGTTATATTAATATATTGGTTTGAATATTTAAAAAACCCAAATACATTTCTTTTTTCCCTTTAAATTTTTATTGTTATGTTAATCACCATACATTACATCATTAGTTATTAATGTAGTGTTCCATGATTCATTGTACATAACACCCAGTGCTCCACGCAGAACGTGCCCTCTTTAATACCCATCACCAGGCTAACCCATCCCCCCATCCCCCTCCCCTCTAGAACCCTCAGTTTGTTTTTCAGAGTCCACTCAAATACATTTCTATGTAATTGAATTTTAAGTATGTACTTCATTTAGGAACAGCACCATATCATGATCCCACACTGTAACTATGTGCATACCAGTATGACAGTCATTATCATTTATTGTCTTAGTTATCTACTAACTCTATATCTTTGCTTCATCACAACTACCTTGTTCAGTGTCCTTTCTTTTCTTTATTTCAACCTCAGCATTCCAAAAACTAGAACAAATATTTTAACAGTGTGTTATGATCATGCTTCTCATATGACATATATTGATTTTTGTTTGTTTATTCATTTGTTTTTAGATTCCACTTATGAATGAAATCACATGGTATTTGTCATTCTCAATCTGTTGTCATTCACTTCGCAAAATTTTTTACACTGCATTATTCCATAGATATTATTATTTCAAAGGAAATAAGGAACAAACTAAAATTTGTAGTTTATAGAAAGTTTAAGGTTAAATCCTTCTGCTTATGGTTTAAAATGTACTGTAGAAAATTATAGAAATTGTTTAACTGTTTTACCAAATTTAGAGCATTTTAACAAATAATTTAATATTAATGCCATGATTCCAAGCCATTTTTGAGATAGGACATCTATTGGTTGATTTTAAATCTTTGCTAGTTACAGCCTCATTCCTTATAATAAGTTATCATGGTCCTCATGTTTCATTTCTAATGGTGTAGTATTGCATATATATTTAACTTAAAATTAATTAAAATATGTTTAACATTTGAAAAATTTGGGAATCCTTTCCATCTAGGGATCTAGCAATATGTTAGGCCCATGTTCTTTTAAATATTATGATTAAGCATCTCTATAATTGTTATTTCTTTTTTTACATTAAATTAACCAACATATAATAAAAATTTAAAAGATAAACTATAAACTAAAGTACTAAGTGGCTGATAACAATTGTTATTTCTGATATTTGAAAGGCAACTATTTCCCTTCTGCATTTGGAAATAGAAATAAAAGACAAAATGTGTGGTACTATTTAATATGTGACTTCAAGAACATCATATTAATATCAACTTGTTACACATTGCCTAAATGTTCAGTCACTTAGTACTTTATAGTTCATTTTTAAAATTTGTATGTCTTCTTTCTGACTTTTGTAAGACATCTTCTTAATAGTAATCTCATTGATGTCTTTCCTATGACTTTGTAAGTAAAAATTACATGCAGCGTTATAGGAATATCAGTATAAAACTTTTATATTTGAAGATGAAAAACTGAAATCAAGGTGGAGAAGTGAGGAACAGTAGGTCCTTAATTAAAAAGAAAACCTCTGGTAGAAATGTAATATTCTACAAGATGAACCTGGAACATTTTGTTGCCATAAAGTAAGAAAGTCCTCAAAAAATAATGATGGGGGCTATTGTCATGTCAAAGGAAAACAGGAGCCAACTAAAAAAGCTCTCATTGGCCAAAGCCAGAACAATTTTACCAACAAAATAAAATATTGTTTGATTATAAACCAAAGTAAAAAATAATATTCATAATTCCATATTGATAGGAATAAGTGATTGAATAAATAGAGCAAAGACAAATGTATTATGCAAAAAAATTCCATATGATTTATGTACATAATCTGCCCTCAAGGAGGTGGAGGTGACTACTGTTCTTTAAGTGTGGGCTGCACATAAACTTCTTTCTTAAAAGTGATACAATATAGAACTGTTGGTGTTGGGGGGGAGTAAATTTACAGTAGAGAAACCTAACAAATAGTACCTCAGCCAGGTAATTAAGTTTAACATCAGAAGTGCTCAGTCATTTTGATAGTATGTACACTTGGTATGATGTGATGATTCTGGTACTTTAGTTCTGTCCTTTTCTCCCACAAAACCTATAACCTCCCCAGTCTAATAATGAGAAAAACCATCAGACAAATCCAAATAGAAGAACATTTAAAAAGTACCTGGTTTGTAATCTTCAAACTATTAATGTCATAACAAAAGGAAAGTCTGAAGGGCCCCTGGATGGCTCAGTCAATTGAGTGGCCCACTGTTGGTTTTGGCTCAGGTCAGGATCTCAGGGTCCTGGGACCAAGCTTCACATCAGACTCCATGCTCAGCAGGGAGTCTGCTCCAGGATTCTTTCTCTCCCTCTGCCCCTCCTCTCATTTGCTCTCTCTCTGTAAAATAAATAAATGAATCTAAAAAGAAAAAGAAAGTCTGAGAAACTGTCACAAGCAAGAAAATCCTAAGAAGACATGATGATGTGGAGCAGAAAAAAGGCCTTAGGTAAAAACTGAGGAAATCTGAATAAAGAATGGATTTTAGTTAATAATAATGTGACAGTATTGGTTAGTTAATTGTAACAAATATCTCATACTAATATAAGATATTAATAATAATGGAAACTGGGTGTGGGGTTTATGGAGACTTTCTATACAATTATTAGAT